CTTAGCCGCGTCTAATCCAAAAATTTCAAATTCAGCCTTCACGCACCCTCAGGACTCACGTACGCAAACGTCAAAGTTTAAACTGGCACCATGCCAACCCCAAATTTAAGGCGATTAATAAACTGCGGGGAGCTGCAATTTTGCAACGTTACTTGGTGCCTACTGTTGTGTCCGTGAAAGTAAATTACTTGTCAGCTCTTCTGCATCTCACATACGAATACGTGTACAAACATGAAATTTGACGTAACTCCGGAACCTGAGGAGCTGGAGTGCTGAAACTTTTTGAGCGCTACCTATAACCGTGTTTGACCAACTGCAGGTGAAGAAAGCATTCACGTTGCCACTCACGTAAGAGCACGTGAAATTTGACGTAACTCTGCAACCAGAGCAGCTGGACTGCTGAAACTTTCCGAGCGTTACCCAGGGCCGTGTTTAAGTAACCGCAAGCGAAGAAAGCATTCACTTTACCATTCACGTACGAACACGAGAAATTTGACGTAACTCTGCAACCAGAGCAGCTGGAGTGTTGAAACTTTCTGAGTGTTGCCCAGGGCCGTGTTCGAGTTACCGCAAGCGAAGAAAGCATTCACTTTACCATTCACGTGCGAACACGTGAAATTTGACGTAACTCTGCAACCAGAGCAGCTGGACCGCTGAAACCTTCTGAGCGTTACCCAGAGCCGTGTTTGAGTAACCGCAAGCAAAGAAAGCATTTACTTTACCATTCACGTACGAACACGTGGAATTTGACGTAACTCTGCAACCAGCGCAGCTGGAGTGCTGGAACTTTTTGAGCCTTACCCAGGGCCGTGTTTGAGCGACTGCGGGCGAAGAAAGCATCCACTTAGCACTCACTTACGAACACGTGAAATTTGACGTAACTCCGCAATCAGAGCAGCTGGAGTGCTGAAACTTTCCCGAGCGCCACCCATGGCCGTGTTTGAGCAGGCGCGAGCGATGAAAGCATTCACTTTGCCACTCACGTACGGACACGTGAAATTTGACGTAATTCTGCAACCGAAGCATCCAGAGCATTGGATCTTCTGGGTATGGATTGGGAGTCACTGTAATAATTTCTAACAGTCGTGGTGGCCAGTCGCAATTCTTTTAGCTAGAAGTATCTGCCAGGAAGGACGTACCACTGGCGAAAAAAAGCTGCGGGGGGAACTGTGCAAAAAACGCATCCTCGTACCGGCAGCCGGTACGCTTTCAACTAGGTTTTTGCGGAGGCACAGGGAACTGACCGAGTAATGCATGGAATCTTATATTCGTCCGACAGGGCTATCAGTGGCTCTCATTCGATGACTGCTTAGAATCAAGCCGATGTCAGTTCCAACTCTACAAATGAGTACCAATTTACCACTGATTCAATAAGAAAACTGTAGAGGCTGCCTCTGTCCCATAGGATTCTGGACACAGTCGGCGAGATCAGACAGTACTCGAGCTCCGTATGATCCCCGCCCTCGCGATTTACCCTTCAGCTCTAGAAACTTATATCGGAGGGGAAGGGGCAGAGAGGTCGAAGGGGTGATGGAGAAAGGGAGGAGGGGGAGGGAGGCATAGCATTCTTATAGTAAGGTATTTACAAAAGTATTGCACTCATAATACACATTTACATAGAGTTAGACTAAGAAACAACAGCATATGGGCCCCAAAGAAAATAAGTAATACATGGAAAATTCTGAGCACTTACGTCCTGGAATTTTTCGGCGACAAGTTGATTCGCTGTTCGACTATCCACCGTTACTGAGTAGGTGTGTTCGGTAAGCCAGTCGATTGCATTCGATCCGATCACTGTTCGCACATTTTGCTTTGGTTGACGGCCCAGTGCCTGAATGCGTTGGCGCTCGGCCGGTGCATTGCCAATACGGATCAATTCGTTGAGGATCAGCAGCATTGGGTGTTGCCGTTCGTCGCGATTCAAACCATCAAATTTTAGGCAGTTCATCGCTTCGTCATAACAATGCTGCAGTACATTTGACATGTGAATTTATGCGCTGCGATCGTCACATACTAACAAGGTCCAGTTGCAGTGCTGAGTTAAGACGTATATGAATTAATGGGCCGAAACGTCTTATCTCAGTGCTGTCTCATTTCCTCGTTTTTTCCTGATTTCTTTCCAATACGCCTTCAACACTTTGGCATCCAAGGTCAACATGGATGCTACAATCGGCTTATGTTCAGGAATGATCTACGACAAGTCCAGATATCCGCCCAATAAGAAATTCTTTAAGAAAATTAATGAGTTTAGGTACGGGCTATGCAAATATGTGGCAACATCTTATGGCGATCAGGATGCACTGCGATGAACAAAACTGTTCTGATCACATGACGAGGATTAAAATCTACGCACAAAAAACAACTACCGCAAAAGACCAGTTTTGCGAAATAATACAAACAAAATGACTTACGAACGTACCCAGTACCATTCCGATTTTTGGCTTGCTTCACGTTGCGTTGTAACTGTGAGAGCTGCATGTAAGGCTTTTGTTGCTGCAATACGCACCGATGCCTGAAATTTTGCCTCAAAATCACAAAACTCCCCGACTTAGATTACTTGTTATTATATGAGACCAGCAATATTTTTTAACAAATACACACACACGCATCAAAGCCATAATTCTCATTACATAAGAAGACAGATAAAAAGTCGGATATTAAGGTCTGAGAATTGACAAAATCTCATTTGGCATTTACCTTCCATCTGGGGAATCGTGTACCTAAACCGAGTTTCGATTTGCGTTTACGTCAAAACTTAGAGCACTTCAAAGATATTTGTAGCGAAATGCCTATTTCGCCTAGCGGACAAACTGTGAGGTTGCTGACCCTCAGCAGTCTCTGCAACACCAATAATAAAAACATCAACCGTCTTGCTGATTTTGACATGACATTTGCAGTAACAGACCTTCGGATCCCGGATCACTTTGAAGATATTGGAGAAGAAATTTGAGGCACGTAAGAAAAATGACGTCGACGTGTAGAGTGCTAGCTGTCGTGCCAAGAATGCGGCTGCAAGACGGCGCGATTCATTTCGTTCAGGTTCTTCCAGCCATTCGCAGACCTATTAAAGCATGGAAACTATTTTTGAATAATTCTGCAATTCTCTTATCAAAATCGGGGTCATTCCCGGACCCAGTCAATTGGGGTCATTCCAGAATCCAGGGATTAAATATTTTAAGATCACACGTACTCATAATGACTCAACATGCAAGAAATAGTTCAAAAAATAGAAAAATTGTAGCAGTGTATTTATGTGGCGAAAAAATAAAAAAAAAAAACAAATACCCTCCGTATTTGGTATTTTTGAGAGACGAAAGCAAGCAGAAATAGCCCTTGTCAACTGCAACCACTCGTTGGAAAAGCTGTCAATGGATTCCGACGCAGTTGCTTTGATGAAAACTAATGGTAGGTACTACGAATGGCTTTTTTTTAACAAATTCACTACCTGATTCATTGATTTTTCCACAAGTTCAGCGGCAAATGTTTTTGATGTTTGAATCAAATAAGCGATTGCCCGAGCTGCCAGTTTCATCCCGGCTTCATCACCTTGCATCAGTGCTCGCAGAAGATATTTCGCAAAGCGTGGCACACGTTTCGTCTCATCGCCCGCATTCTCGACAAGACACACTGCAAAATTTACCATGTTTTTTTTATACTACAAACAGTGTCATCAGGTCCCCCCCCCCTCTCCCATTCAAACTAGTTCATAAAAGAGCTATATTAGGCTCGTTTGTCAGCAATCACATGCCCCCAATCAGTAATCATGCAGCATCTCTTCGAAGATTGTCCAAATGTTCACTCCCTCATAAATATTACTCACTGGCACCAGTTGTTAGACAGGCTACCAAATTACTTCACATACACAGGCTTGCTTATTTGGGAGATCTAAATGGCACTTCTAGTATTTTCATTATCAAAATTCGATTGTGTTCCTCTCTACAGCGGACCAATAACACTAAACAAACTGCACAAGTTAACACATGGGTGATTTCAGGCCCCCTTCCTCTTCCTCTCTCCTTCCCAGGGATATTCACTGTTTGTATCTTTAAAATTTCTGTAACAATCAGTTCTCAACAAATCCGGTAACATGCCCCCCTCCAC